TGTCTGCCGCCGCCCTCTCCGAGGAGGCGGTTCCACGTCGAGTGAGGGAGACGGTGGACGGGAAGATGAAGAGCGGTGGTCTGACCCACATTGTCATGCGCCCGTCGCGGGGGTATCTCTCCCTGGTAAGTCACGCGCCGCTACAGCCCCCGAGCCCTCTCTATTTCTCATCATTTCTCGTTCCCTTATGCGTGTTCGCCGTTCCTGCAAGGGATGAGGGACGTGCGAGCCTCCCCGCCGCCCGTTCCCGAGGACGTGAGGCGGCGGGCGATCAACCGGGCGCACACCGAGGCGTAGAAAAACGAAAGGACGCCAAGGCGGCCAAGCGCACGAAGCAGATTCTTGCACGCGAGAAGCTAGATGAGCGTCGTCGGTAGCAAAGGAAGGACGGCCTCCCACTGGAGGAGTCCCCGTCGCCGTCGCTATCAATGGACGCCTCGGACGGAGATGACGAGGGCGAGAGGGGGCGGGGTCCCCTGGACTATCTCCCTGATGTTGAGGAGACGGCGCCCGGGGTGTTGGCGAGCAGCCCGGTGCTCCTAGGAGGAGGGGGAGGAGATAGCACCCTGGGGTTGGCGATCGCTCACCCCGCGTCCAAGGCTGACATGCCCGAGCTACGGGCACTAGGGAAGCGTGATGTCAGCCCGTCGGGCTCGATGGTAGTGACAGAGCAGGCAGTAGCGGGGGCGACGCAACTGCCACCATAGGGGGTCGAGGGGGCGCCGGAGCCCGACGAGGGTCGGCCGGCACCAGTGGATGCTGGGGCCGTGCCTCCGCCACCGCCGCGGTCATTACAGAGGAGAACCGCGGTGCCAAAGCGGCTGCAACCCCGCTCGAGGTGAATGTTTTTTCAGTGACGTTCGCATTGTCTCTTGTTCGCTTCATGGTCATCGGCTGACCAAGTGGGTGTTTTGCGTTTAGTCGGAAGCGTCGGGTGGAGGTGCCATCCTTTGCGCCGCACAAGGCACTCAAAGTGAGCGCCGGTCCCACTGCTCAACAGGTGGCAGAGGCGCAAACCGCCATGCAGCCTGATGTGGCGTCGGCCGGGGCCGACCTGAAGAGGTCGGTCATTCAGGAAGAGGCTCCCGGGGTGGCTACGGAGCAGACGAAGGAGGAAGGGCCTATGCTGCGCATTGCCGAGGCCCATGAGTCCGATGGGGCCGGGGCGCCCCCAGTCGCCGAGGCCAGGAGCAAAGTCGAGGCCCCTGCGGCGCCGATTCTGTGGCCGAACTAAACGAGCCCTGAGTCCAACTCGCGACCCTGCTGAGTGCTTTTCAGGCCGGTCAGCGAGGCCGCACAGAGCAACTGAGCAAGCAACCGAGCGGTCTCCTTCGGCGGCGTCCGTACCACGCTCTCATGTGTATCCGTTCCTGACGATGTATCTAGCCGATTTCAGTTTACGCCAAGGAAGATTACAGTCAAAAGTTTACACGCCCACAAAAAATGTACCTTTTACATATTCTTGGACGCGTGAATGCGTGATACATACTACAAGATCATCATATTACCTCACCACGACCTCACCATACTGACGATAAAAACGCGGATGGATAAAAATACAAAAGGTACGGTGGCGTCAAGGTCAAGCTGTGATACGATGGTCTTCGTCTCTGATAGCGATAGGCCATCGTCGTTCGCAGCTTGCGTGCAGGCTGCTTCTGCTGTTGTTTCAGTAGTGTTGCAGGCTTGCAGTCACAGGCATTCAAGTCGATCCCCTGCCACCTCGTTTCTCTGTTCTTCCCTGCCGCGCCGTGATGGATGACGCGGCGGCGCCACGGTCAAGATCGGTGGCGCGGCAGACCCTGCCACGTCACCGGTCAGCGCCCCGGTCGTCGCCACGTCAGTCCTCTTGTCGCGCCATCATGTTTGGCGTGGCACAGGCATTTGGCCGCACCATGGCAATAGGCGCGGCCAAAAGTGTTAGATTTGGAAATAAAAAACAAACAGTGTTAGATTTAGAATTAGTTTACCAAAAGTATTAAAATTAAAAAAAATCCTCTCTGTTGCATGCAGCTGCAGGAGTGGTAGCAATTTTTCCTCCACATGCATTGTTCCAACCTGAAATTAATGCGCTCCACTCATGAAGAAATAGAACGGCGCCTGCCCCACATGCAACTGTTGCACCTGCAGGCCCGCCCCCACATATTGTATGCAACTGCTGCGCCTGCACATCATGCACGTACGCATGCAGCGTGCCACATGCCTGTTGATGCACATACAGGTGGGTACCACCCATGCCCGCTTCACTTCCCGCACACGTTGGGACCGCTACGTCCGCGGGGACTTTCTACGCGTGCTAATGTTGCAACATGAAGTATTTCTACAACATACATCTGAAACAGGTGAAACATTTACAAACATACGTTTGCAACATATGTATATAGCAAATGTAACATCTAGATAAACACACTTACAACATACGTCTAAAGCATATGAAACATTTTGAATAGACGCTTGATACATATGTCAAAAACATATGCAACATTGCAACATATGCAATATCTAGATGAAACACTTGCAACATAGGTCTTAAACAGATGAAACATTTGGAACATACATTTGCAACATACATGTATAGCCACTGCAACATATGCAACATTCAGATAAAACACTTACAACATATGTTTGAAACAGCTACAACATTTGAAACATACACTTAAAACATACGCATATAGCCACTGTAACATATGCAATACCAAATCTACTTTTGCAGCATCCATATAAAACATATGCAACATATATCTAAAACGCATGAAACTTACGGTTGCAACATGTGCTCCTACTTGTTGCCGCCTAATGGAGGCTGGTTGACGCAGCGCGGGGGAGCGCAGCGTGAGGCGCAGCCGGCGCGAGGCATGGGGCGCGGACAGCGTGCGCGCGAGGCAGGTGCGGTGTGACCATGCGAGACGCGAGGCATGGGGCGCATGGAGCGAGGCAGGTCCGGTGCAAGGCGTAGGGCGCGCAGCGCGAGGTGGGTCCGTCGTCCCATTCGGATGGACGGACTCCCTGATAGGAGCTTTACTGTTGCTAGTTTATGATGCCTCGCCAACTCACCTGCTAGGTTCTAGATCAATATCTTGTTGGACGCCACGGGGACGCTGCTCCTCGCCGTCCGCTGCAAAAGGCTCAGCATGGCGGAGGGCTGGGTCATCTACGATGGCGCCGACGTCGATAGCAGGCCGCATCTCCTCTCCGTCTGCTGCCATGGCGGCGGCCTATGTTACACGGATACGTCCAGGAAGCCGCGTATCGCGTATCAGATACGTATCGGATACAGATACGTGTCCGATACGCCCAGGATACGTATCCTCGGAGTATCCGAATTTTTTTTATTTTTGCGAATTATGGATACGTGGGCTGATACGTATCAGCCTTGTGGATACGTCCCAGCCCAGTAAACAACCCTTCCTCTGCCCTCGACGCCCTAGAGAAGAACGAATCGACAGGGAGAGCAGAAAAAGGAAGAGGAAGTGAGGAACAAATCGACAGGGTCGCAGATGCCGCACGCTCCGCTTCCCGCAACCACGACATCCCCGTTCGGCGCTCTCGGCTCCGAGCTCCGAGCTCTCCGATTCGCCTCACAGGTACCGCCGCGCCGCTCTTGGCTCCGAGCTGCTTATCGCACTGCCGCCGATTCGCCTGGCCCAGCGAGCCGCTGCCGTCGGCCTCGACTGCCGATTCGCCGGAAGCCGCGCGCCGCTACCTCCACTCGCCTGGCACCGCGCGCCACCGCCGCCGCCTGATGCTGCTCGCGCCGCGCTCCGAGGCTGGCCTAGGGTTAGGACCTGAGAGCGGATTGGGGATTTGGGGCTGGCTGAAGTCACGAGTGGTGGCGTGGTGCCGCTGGGGGCTGACTGAAGTGAAGTGCTATTACGTGGACTTTGGTGGGCCGTCACTGGGCTGGACCTGAGCGGATGCTGCTGTTTCTGTGGTCCACATTATTCTTATTTTTATTTTATTTTTAAATAGTAAACGATCCGCGATCGGGTTTTTAAGAAATTGCCGTATCCGCAGATCCAGATCCTTGCGATACCGATACACGTATCCGTATCCGTGCAACTTAGGCGGCGGCTTCCACGCCTCCGGCTACGACGTCGCCGTGTCCTCCCTCGGACGCCGAAGAGGCATTCGTGGTCGAGGGCTCCTACGACCGCCGGGTCTGCGCCGCGCGTGACTCTGCGGCGATGTCATGGCCGAGGTGCGGCGCAAGGATGCGGTCGGCGACGATGCGTTCAGGCTGGTGGTCCGTCCCCACCTCGGCGCGCTGCTCGCCATGGGGCAGCGGCGGACCATCAGGGTCGAGTGGGGGCGCCGACATCATTTCAGTGGAGATTCAAGTCATCCATGAGACATGCCCGATACTTGTCGAATTTTTTCCCCAACCTGAGGAGGCAACATGTTTTTCCCAACTATTTTGGGCAAACTGGATGTAAATTTAGTAGGCTCGCTGCAGTGAATTCCATTCTGGACCAGAAAAAATTTGGAACATGTAATTTACAAATGGTTTTATGACAAATACCGGGTTCCAAACAGGCAGTCTTATTGAACTCTGCAGTATTTATGATATCCTTTTAAAAAACCAATTTCTCTCAAGACTCGAGAACCAAACATGGACTCAGAGGTGACGTGGTAATAGAAAGGACTTTCAGAGTTGCAGTTGTAATACAAAGGAAAATCAGATCCGTTCATGTCAGAGAGAGAGAGAGCAGCAAGCAATCGTGGACTCGTTGTCCTGGACAACACGTGGCCTCGTAGTCGTGGGTAAGACTCAGACCGACCGGCATGCGATTTTTTTCCAGGACCAGTCGACGTGGCGTATGCAACCCCTGTCAACTCCCCGGAAGTTCCGGAAACTAACCTGCACAAGTTACCAATTGAATTCCTCCTGTGGGGAAAGAAAGGTTTCGTAGCGGGCGCGTCAAGTACTCCCTCCCTGCATGCCCGCCCGTGCCCCATATATATACAACCACCCCACATCCACCACTTCCCACAACCGCCGTATGCGTCCCGTCCCGTTTTGCCAAAACCCTAATCATCACCACACCCGTTCGGCAATATCGATCGGCAAGAACAAGATGCAGATCTTCGTGAAGACGCTGACGGGGAAGACGGTGACGCTGGAGGTAGAGAGAAGCGACACCGTCGCCAATGTCAAGGCCAAGATCCACGACAAGGAAGGTACGACGCATGTCCCCGGCCGTCTGGTCGCCCGCGCCTTTTTCTTTATGTATTAGTCAGGGTTTATAAGCAAAATGCAATTTGCTTCAGGCATCCCGCCGGACCAGCAGCGCCTCGTCTTCGCCGGCAAGCAGCTGGAGGACGAGCGCACTCTGGCTGACTACAACATCCAGAAGGAATCGACGCTGCACCTGGTGCTCCGCCCCGCGGCGGCGGCGGCGGCAAGGGTGGGACCTACCCCAACATCGACCTCAACCTCCTCCAGCTCGCGCTCAAGTACCGCCAGCACAAGATGATCTGCCGCAAGTGCTATGCTCGCAACTCCGTCAGGGCCGAGAACTGCCGCAAGAAGAAGAAGGCGGCCACACACAAGCGAGGTGACGACGACAATGCAAACTCGATCGATCTCTTCTTCAATTCGTCCGTTTAAATTTTCCTCGTTCCCGGCCTATAATCAAGCTAACCTACGTAATAAGGAACTAAGAATATATGTCATCGTTAACATGTTCTTATATCTTGATTATTACTAGTAACCATTAAGGCATTAACCGATAATAACCAACATGCTCCGCTGCTGCGTGCATAATAATTAAATTAATATTGAATTACCGGACCATATATATAATATAACAACATGCTCTCTTGTTCATTACTAATTATTTATTGATCCGCTGACAACAAACCAAACAAAAACATTATTTTCCTGTCATTTAAATTAAATGTTGTTAATTCTCCATATATTTTTGTTTTTAATATCCAAATTATTCAGGTCATCGGCTTTTGTGTATTGTACGTGCTAGCTAGTAACTGTAAAGTCGTTCTCCTATTCTAGAAAAGTTAATTTTACTAACAATATTGTGTATATGTAGTTATTTGGTTTGAATTACTAGCAGCTCATACTTACCAGATTGATCTTGTAATCGACATCCACTCTTAATTTGATCTAACGTTTAACTTTTCAACGTTTCACTTCAGCTAAGGGCAAAGAAGAAACTGGATGCCAAGAGGGAATGAAGGAAACGTGGCCGACTCTGATGATTTACCTGTGTTAAGTGTTAGTTGCAGAAGTGTCGTTTTTCTTTTTGCCAAGAATAATAAGTTGTCACTTGGTCATGACATTCCAACTCTTTTGTCTAGTTTAGGCTCCTTTGTCAGTTAATTGTTGCCTCCTAATAGAGGCCAAAAGCATGAATCTAAAACAAACAAATTCTGCCAACTTGTGAAAGGTGGCTTCTGGCTGCCAAAGTTTTTATTTTATTTTACTTTTTTTTTTTGTGGTGCAGACACTCATCTTTGTAAACGCATGACAAATCCTATCCCTATAAGAAAGCACCTCTAAAAGTCTTAGCTGGCAGATCTTGAGATTGGCGTAATTATCATAGGCACCTCGATATTGCCTAGCACGTCGCCTGTCACTTGAAAGAGCAACGCCGTTAAATTCTGTAAAATCTAGGAAAATATGAGGCTTATTTTATTTTTATTAAAGCCTGAAGCTTGTCTGGTTTGACTTTTGACTTCTAAAGATATTGTTGATGGACATTACAATTATTACACATTTTGTTGTTCATCTAGAAGATATCAATAATGTCAGCTTCTCCAACTTTTCAAAAGTAGGCTTTTACCAGCAACCACAAAATTAAGGTTTCAACCAAATAGCCCTTACCAGTTCGTATAGGGATATGTTGGCATTTCTTAGCGTAATCACCAAGTGTGGATATTTTAAGTCCATCCCTGGCAACGGCGTCAGAAATGCTTGTTGGCATTTCTTAACACAATCACTAGGATTGGTGTTTCCTAGCAATGACACCAAAAATGCCGTGACGATATTTCTGTACACATGCAGAAATATTCCACAAGCGTACGGATATATCGTTGTAGCATTTCATCCAAGAAGTATTTAGGTATCGTTCATTTATATTTTCCTAAAGGAAGGCATGGTGTAAAAGTCTCTATTAAGGATATGGGATAACATGACTGCATAGTAGACTAAAGTTCATAATAGGGATAATTCTAGATAAATGTTGGATAGTGTGACACATACTCAAGCCAATCTCAAGGATAAACATAAAAGAAAGAATAAAGAATAAAAGAATAAACCTAGACTGGAGCAGGTTTATCTTACATAGCTATGCTAAGATGAGCGAGATAATTATACAAATACATGAATTTCTAAGAGTGGTGATCCTAAGTTAAGATAGCTTTGGTCATCATAAACTTACTTTGGCACCGGCTAATGCTTGGTCTACCAAGCACCTCCACTGTAGCTCTACATCGTATCCGAACGTGGATGATTACGAATAACGGATGTATTGTCACCACCTGTCGCCTACCCCTCAACCGGAGGATACGAGACAAACGAAGGTAACTTCTAACATAGATAACACGTCTACACTATTGGTTACTACTCTAGCAGTGGTCAGGAACTACCGTCTTTATTAGGAGTCCTCTTACTAGAGCATCCGCCTCGAGGACGGACGACGAACCCACAAGAATATAATGACCAAGACTAACTTAAAGTAGAACTCATCACCTCAACTTAGCTCTTGGTTTAAACATGTATATTGTTTGAAGGATTAAGTATAAAGTTCTATATGCTAATTAATAACATAAGAACTTAGCTCTAATTTATAAGCATAGCTATATTGATAATATGAGAGCAAGTACAAAAGGAAACTCTTGATATTATTCATACCAAAAGGCTCAAGCTGCTCAAGCTCTCCAATGTAGCTTCTCCTAGATCTAACTACTAAAAATAGTAAAAAGAATACAAGTGGAGGGAGAGAGGCCCTTGTGTTGTGTGTGTTGAATGGGGGCCTCTACACCTCTACTTATACATGCTTGAGGTTAGTTTGGCGAGGGATAAATTAGAAAACCATACTAAACCGCCTCTGAATGGCATTAATGAACCGCCAGAGCGAGGTGGGACCGAGCGGAGGCTGAGGCGATCTTGGCCGCACCCCTTCCTCGGCTGTCTCGCCACCACCTACGCTGGTGGGTCTCTTGGTGGGCCTAGAGCGCAGCCATGGTGGGGTTTGGCCCAAATTTGTCAGTTGGATGGGCCATCTTCTCATTGCTTGGCATAAGATCTGCTTTACGCTTTGTTTCAAGGCGCATTTTGACTATAATTCTATTGTATCCAAGTATAAGTGCTGCAAAATAGAAGTCTTGCAATACAAGTGGAACTATGTCAATAGCAAAGGCATATGCGTGTAAAACATGTTAGTTTTCTCCTTTTTGGAAATAAGTTGGTGGTAGAATGTTGTCGATAACAACCGCCAACAAGATATTCTTATGACCTTGTCGGTGTTTCGGACCGGGGGTCCTCAACCAACTAGTAAAAGTGAACTGCGTACCCCTAATCCTGGATGGTGATGCAAAGAGACACAAGGTTTATACTGGTTCAAGCAATTGGTGCCCTACGTCTAGTCTGAGAGATCGGTCTTGTATTCCTTGCACCGAAGTGCTTGTAGTAGGGGGTTACAAGCTGGGTGAGAGAGGGAGCTAGTCTTAGGTCTCGGCGTGGGATGGTGCGAGGTGCTTGAGACGCTGCTCTCAAGCAGCCCAGGAGCGTGGGTGTTACTGGATGTGTCTAGGGCGAGTATGGGAGCGTGGTTCTATCGTATGTCCTTCTCCTCCCCCCCCCCCGAGCTATCCCTGACCGCTTCCTTTTATAATCGCAAGGAAGGTGCTAGGAGTACATGAGTAAGCTACACGTGGGGCCTACTGCAGTTTTGTCCTGTAGTAGCATGGCGTTGGGAATGGAGATCGGTACTTGTCTGGCGCGCCGTGCTGGTCAGGTTTGAAGTGGTTAAGGTCGTGGGGGTCCTTGTCGATGTCTAGTCAGTATGACTTCCACGGCCGGAGACATGCCGTGCTTTGGTGGACTCATGACCTGGTGGAGTGCCGAGGCCTAGCGGGTCGTAGCTAACCACGCCGAGGCCTGATTTGCCGAGGCCCTAGTGGGTGTTTGTAGCTGACTACGCCGAGGCCTGATTTGCCAAGGCCCTAGAGGGAGCAGTTGGGCCTATGCACTGATTCCAAGGCTATAGTGACCTGGTTTAGGTGGAAAAGTGTAGGGCATGGTAAAAAAGGAGATTTGACCGTTGTCCCATCGCTCCTGTTGCTGTACCCTGTCGATCGTGGCTGACGTAGCGGGTGCATTCAGGCGCATTAAATTGATGGGACAGCCTGCCAGGGGGATGGTTGAGGCGGAGGCGATGAGGATGCGGGACGAGCGCGGCCTCGGCCAAGGCGGAGAAAGAACAGTACGTCCGAGGCCCTACCGGGGAGTCTCGGACGAGGCGGAGAACGAGCAGCTAGGCTCTTCTACTATTGCTGAGACTACAGGGACCTGGACTTGACCTTTCATGCTGCTTTGTCCTTGGCGTAGGGGTTAGGTAGCACAAGGCAGTACGGGTGTCAGTAAGGAGCACAGTGATGAGCACAGTGGCAGGTAACCCCTGCTGCGCCCGGTCCCCTGTACCGTCGGTCGCTCTGCCCGCACTGTACTCGCGTGCGGCTGACGTTTGCGAGAGTAGTTGGGCGCATTAATTCGGATGTGATGTTTTGTCAGAGGAGTTCGGTCGGGACGAAGATAACGAGGTTGTTTGCCGAGCCCAGCCTCGAGCGAATCGGAGAATTGGCATCCCGTCCAAGGCCTTTCGGGGCGGGGCCTCAGCGAGAGGGCCTCGACAGGGCGGGGAGCTTTTGGCCTTTCGCATGAGGCTTCGGCGCAAGGCCTTGGGTGAATCGGAGAATCTGATGAGACCTTGCGGTAGTCTTTCGGCTTTGATTTTTGCAAGGTTTAAGCAATATTTTTGGTTCTTGCTTAGGGTACCCCTTCTTGCGGTATCCGACAGTAGCCCCCGAGCCTCGGGAGGAGTGAGGGCACTCTCCTGAGGTTTTGCCGAGACTTGGCTCGCAACAGCTCCTGTTTGGGATTGTGTTTTGTACTCGAGGTCTCGGTGGGTGCGCGCGAGCGCACCCGCCGGGTGTAGTCCCCGAGGCCCTGGAGGAGTGATTTGACTCCTCTAGGGGCTTTTCTTATGTCGTGCGACGGATTTTTATTGCTGTAGCCGAGCCTATGAATGCGAGTTCAGGAAGCTGAGCCTCGGTTTAGTTATAGGAAGAACCCCCGAGCCTCTGCTCAGAGCAAGAGGACGACTAGGAGTTTCCCTGTCTTTTTTGCATTGCCCTCACACATCCATTTTGTTCGGAAGGAGGGGTGGAGGGTGCCATGCTACCCTCGATGGGCGCGAGCAGTGACACCTCCGGTGATCTGTTATCGGGTAAGTCCGAGTGGAGGCCCGAACCCCGTTCGTTAGGGGTCGGCTAGCGGTCCAGAGACGCACTCTAAGAGTACCAGAGGGTTTCTCTAGTGGGTGCCGGGGCCGTTCGCTAAGCCCCGGTGGCTCGGTGCCTCCCTACGGT